TTGCTTGGAAGCATAGTTTTTTGCTTCTCCGCCATGTTCATGATCATGTTACCCAGCAATATCATAAAGCCAGGTAAACAAACTCACTATAAAATGATTTGTAAAATGTTTCTCTTTATTTGTCAATGATCCTTGAGAGTCCTTTGAACAACTATTTGTTCCATACAAAATTCTGATACAAAGCTTTATGCAAAAACTCATAGTGGACCAGGTTCATACTGTAATTCTAACAGAAGGCTAGACACTCATAGTTGTAGTAGATGAAAGTGTTACTGTTTTTCTTTTACTTGGAAGTGGTGTAGTGGATTGGTTATAAGTAAAATAAGGAAAATAACAACATCACTGTCCACATAGGACAAACACATCAAACAAAATTATATGATGAAAACCCCTAAAGTTCCAACTTTTTATAAAGAAAAAAGAATTCCACCTGTTACCCAACAAAGGCTAGAATCTGGCCGTCACCCTATCCTAGTTCCATTCCTTGATAAACTTGTCTTCTATGTTCAAATTATTCAGTCACATCACTAACCAATCACAACATACCCTTCTAGCACGTCTCTAGCAGGATACTCTATTTGTGCAAAATGTCCAATAGATAAGACAAAATAGAGACAAGAAGATGATTTCAAGATGGTGCTTCTTTGAATTATTATTCAACTATAATACATGTGGAAAATATTCAAGTGTGCGACGTGTACACTACATGTTGGATTAGAATGTTAAGAATTCAAGATCCGTTGGACGTCTTACGAAATGAGTAGGCCAAAACTTATTTTCTTAAGATTTTGCATGTCCTGATCTTTTATGAGTTTGTTGATGACTAATTGGTGTCAAGTCAGTGGTCTGCACTCCCCTTTGAAAAACCTAACATAGAATGTGTTGAAAAGCAATGAAATGGTTTTTATCCTGCAGTCAAAATTTTATTATGATAAACAAGTGATTGGTTTGTTGTGATTGTTGATGCAGAGAATGTTGGCTTGTCGCTCTCATACGGGTTATCATTAAACGCCGTGATGTTTTGGGCCATATACATGAGCTGTTTCATTGAAAACAAATTGGTATCTGTTGAGAGGATCAAACAGTTCACAAATATTCCATCCGAAGCAACATGGAGAAACAAGGATCGTGTGCCTCCTGCAAATTGGCCCGGTCAAGGCAATGTTGATATCAAAGATTTGCAGGTATCCAGAAAAAACCAAATTGATTATGATTATTTATTGTGGTAAAATTAATTATGCAGTAAAATTTCACTATATCCTACTTTACAAGAGTTTTCAATTTAAAATCTTATGATTGATTGCGACTGTTGTAAAGCCCGAAGGCATACTTTCATAGGCATACTTTCATTAAGTTAGCAGGTGCTGATGTTAAATGACTGGTTAACGAATGAGATAACTATTTTATGTTGTAGTAATAAATGGTATGTGGTGTCAAGGCATATAATATTTTTATTTAGTACATTACTTTATTAAATGATTATTATTAAAAAAATTTAAAGAGAAATATTTGGTAAGAAAAGACTTGTGTTATTGTTATTGTAATACGCTCTGAGCAACAAACTATTTACTTAAGGTCATTACTTAAACTTGTGGCAAACAGGTTAGATATCGTCCAAACACCCCTTTGGTTCTTAAAGGCATCACCTTAAGCATCAATGGAGGAGAAAAAGTTGGTGTTGTTGGACGAACAGGAAGTGGAAAATCAACTTTGATTCAAGTTTTCTTCAGGCTGGTGGAACCAACAGGAGGAAAAATAATAATTGATGGCATTGAAATATCTATCTTGGGACTTCATGATCTAAGATCACGGTTTGGTATAATCCCTCAAGAGCCTGTCCTTTTTGAAGGAACAGTTCGAACTAACATTGATCCAACCGGACAATATACAGACGAAGAGATATGGAAGGTAAATAAATTCCTTCAGACCCATTTACTTTCATTTTTTTGCCATTAGCCTCATCATTTCTTGTTTACTGTTGTAGAGTTTGGAACGCTGTCAGCTAAAAGAAGCAGTGGCTTCCAAGCCAGAGAAACTTGACTCTTCAGGTTTGAAACATTCTTACGATAGTTTGATTAATTTTTGGGCTTACTAATGGAAATGGTACTATCGTTTACAGTGGTTGATAATGGAGATAACTGGAGTGTTGGGCAGAGACAGTTGCTTTGTTTGGGAAGGGTTATGCTTAAGCAAAGTAGGTTGTTGTTTATGGATGAGGCAACAGCTTCTGTTGATTCTCAAACCGATGCTGTGATTCAAAAGATCATCCGAGAGGACTTTGCAGCACGTACCATCATCAGCATTGCTCATAGAATACCAACAGTAATGGACTGCGATAGAATTCTAGTTGTGGACGCAGGTATGAAACATATACTCCTGTTTCTTCTTACTCTGTTACATCTCATGGATTACACTATTTCTATGCTAAGTTCTGTTTATTTTTGCCTTAATAGGGAGGGCCAAAGAATTTGACTCACCAGCCAACTTGGTCCAAAGGCCATCACTCTTTGTTGCTTTAGTTCAGGAGTATGCCAATCGCTCAAATGGCCTATAACAAACTTTTGAGTGTCACTTCTGCAAGACAGTAACAGAAAACATACATTGTCTAAGCCTATTAAGTTTTGAGTGATCTTCCTAGTGCTATGTGAAAGAACAAAAGACATTTACCATGGAAGCAGAAAACAAGTGTTGTGAGACGCAATTACCGTCTCAAATAATTTCTATTAATGCAAGTGAAGTTGCCTAAAGTAAATCTAACGTACAACAAATACAACCATTGTAGCAATTACAGTATCGAGTGTAACAGCTTCACTGTTGACTTCGCATTATTCTGATTTGCTTGTACTTCTGATTGAGAATTAGTTTACAACATTAATAATTTGTTCTTCTGATACATGTGGACATGGCAAAAGGAGTTCTAAAAGTTCATTTTGTTTAAACCTTACGAGGAATATCAATTCGGTCCTCTCGTCTAAAACGATCTCAATTGGTTTCTAAATTTTGTAAATTAGTAACAATTAAGTCCTTTCCGTTATGTGGTCAGAAACAACATCAAGAGCTGTTGAGCTGTAATATTTTTTGGAGGACGTGCCATTCTTGATTAATTTCAGTGGCCGATGTGTTTTATAATGATAATTTACACGTGGAGTGTTTGCCTTAAAATTATTATGCTTACCCTAACATTTAAAGGGTTTGTTTAGGTAGAATGTGTCATTCTTCTTCGTTTTGGGAAAGAAGAGGTTATGGAAGGTGGAACTAGAATAGTGTTCAACTATGTGTGAAAGGTAAATAGAAAATGGTGTCTATCTAGAAGCAAATATAGTTCAATCATTACATGAAAAAGTTGACTGATTAAGCAAGAAAGATATCCAGCAATGGTCATTAATAATTACAGAAAATGAACCTGAAAATGTAGTTTAACAAAGCCCTAAAGTTATACATGGCATCCTGTTTGACAAAGCATATACATGCTTTGCATTACGAACAAAAAAAAAAGGGTTGTTCAGGAATTGTAATTAATCATTACATCAAATATAAAACATTGTCTACAAAATTAAAGTTCAAACATTGTCTACTAACTAAACATCAGTTGATTGTTGAGTAAGAATCAGATCTGTTGGTGGCGATATTTTTACTTCAGTTTGTTATGGTGCAAATATTGTTGATTCAGTGTGTTGTATTTGAGGTCGTTGTGGGCAATATTTTTTGTTGTGTTCATTTTGCTTGCAGACACCATATCTTTTTCTAGTCCCACCCTTTCTTAATTCAATTTCATTCTTCTTCATCTCCCATGCCTCTAGTCTTCGCTTTTTCTTAGGCCTTCCTGGTATTGTTCTTTTCTTTGGGGGTAATACATCTGGATATAATGTAATTTCCCACACATGTTGACCATTGATAGGATAAATGATTGAGTTGTAGGTTTCTTCATATGTTGACTTCCTAAACCAATGACCAATATATTCTTCTTCATTTAAATTCAGAAATTTCATTGCAGTATGGGTGTGATAGCAAGGAATTCCACTAATGCTTCATTTTCTACACATGCAGTCCATTTTGTCAACATTGACAACAAATTGCTCCCCAAATTGAGATATGTGCCTTCAAATAATTTATCTCCTGACCACCTGTCATGTATACAAAACCATAACACAGTTATCATTAAAGTAATGATCATGTAAAAGGATGTTAATCCTATCATTATAGTTACCTTGGTATCCAATATCCGGTTAACCATGATTCCTTTTGAAATCTGTTCAGAACTCCTTTTTCACCATCAACCTTCACCTCCCCACCTTCATCATTTTCCTTTAACTCAACCCAATCAATAATTTCTATTATCTTAGGTTCTATGTTATTATGAGCCACATATAGATGAACTCCACCATTTAACGTGGCTATGTTAAGCATATACATTGCACAATGGTCATCAATCAATAGTTCTAACTTATCTTCAGCCACTGGCTCATCTCCTAAAGAGTATTAAAGCTCCTTCACATCAACATGTCTTAAGTCTTTGACTGAAGCTAAGATCGTAAAATAGCTCCATGTATCTGGGTCACAAAACCATTGTATTGTTTCCCCATCAAATATCAATTTCCCATTTTCGTCACTTACAAAGTGTCCAGTATGGTGGACCACTACTTCAAAACGTTCCTTTTATATTATATATATCTCTCCAAGTCTTTAAACCTGTAACTTATGCCTACAAAATATTAAACATATTACACTCCTTACCACTCAAACATGCAAATAGGGGACAAATTAACATCTCCACCACCGAAACACTCAAATAGGGGACCACAAGTTCTACATAATTCAAAACAAAATAGGGGACAAACTAAAATCCTCACCATTGACATACCCAAATAGGGGACCACAAGTTCTACACTTCTACACATTTTGAAAATGAAATAGGGACCACATCGCATAAAGCAATGCAAATAAATACTCATACCATAACAATACAACAAAAAAATCCATTTCCCATTTCCTATCCCTAAAACCAAAACGCAATACAAAACAAAGCAGGAAATTAAACTAACCTCAACTGCCGTGAACCTTCGTTCGCTACGTGTTTCGAAAGCCTCAACTGATTGTCTTCATCTTCTCTCCAATCCACATTCAAATCTCTTTCACAGTGTTTGTCTTATGTTATAGATCAGTGTTTCGAAATCCCTTATTCCCTTTCGATATCCCTATTTCTTAATACCAAATATGCAGTTGCAAAATCCTTAATTTGCACTGCACAAAATTCCTAATTTAATTTGCTAACCAAGTTCACTAGTTAAATAACGCCACGTTAAAAACTAATACATCATCATAATTTAAATCTTAATTTCAAGTAATAAAAACATTCACATCAATATGTTTATTGTGCAACATATCAGCAGCTAGGGATGACACAAAAATCCGCACCTACGGATATCCGCGGATAAAATCCGCGACGCATAATTAGTACCCGTGGATATTTACTACCCGCGGGTTGCGGGTAGTGGGTCTTTTAATAACGCTTATAAACGGGTCGGGTGCGAGTATTATATTATCCGTACCCGCAAAAAATAAAAATAAAAATTTAATTTATATTTTATTAAGTTAAATTTAATTAAAATTAATATTAATTTATATTTTATAAGGTTGAATATAATTAAAATTAAATTTTAATTTAATATATATTATATTTTATATATTTTTTGTAATTTTATTTAAGTTTTATTATAATATTTTATAAAAATATATTGTTTTATATATTTGGGGGTATCCGCGGGTATTCACGGATATCCGCTGGTTTTAAAATATCCGCGGGTATTTCTTAAGCGGGTATCCGTGCAGATATCGGATCGGGTAGCGGGTGGATATTTTTTTGTTGGATCGGGTTGTGGGTAGACACTATCCGTACCCGATCTGATCTGTTGCCATCCCTATCAGCAGCTCTTGACGCCATTTCTGTTCATTTAATCAAAATGACTTAATTGTTACTAATTTACAAAATTTAAGACCAATTGAGATGTTTGAAATGAGTTGACAAAATTGAAATTCCTGAATAAATTTAAAGACCATCTTAAGATTTAAACTTTTTATTTCTAAGAAAAGTCAAAAGGACTGTTGTTTAGCTGTTAAAACACCGATGGTTATAAAAATGTTTTTTTATACTTTTACGGATCGAGAATTCTTGTATTACAGAATTAATAGTCACACTTAAAAACCCTATATTTGAAAATTGTTTGTTTTAAAAATGTACACAAAATATTGATATTAATAATTTTGGAAGTTTTTTTTATCGCAAATTATCAATCAATTTGTGTAACACCCAAAAACATGCAATATTTTTTGTTTTTCCAGATACAACGTATTTCAATTATATAAATATTTTGTTACTAACTTAAAGTTATATATATATATATATATATATATATATATATATAAATTAATTAATATAAATTATTATTGTATTGCAATATATTTCAATATAAATTAATATATTTCAATTATATAAATTATAAATTAATTAATTAATTAATTAAAATTAATAATTATAATGACAATGGATAATAACAATTAATTAATTAATAAAAATATTATTATTGTTATATATAATTATATAAACATTTGGTTATTATTTTAAAATACTTTATATATATATATATTGCAATTATAAATTATATATATATATATATATATATATATATATAAAGTAATTAAAAATAATGTTTATAATAATAAAAAGTAATAAAAAATAAATAATTAAAATTAATATTTTTATAATAATAACAACAATTAAAATTTGTAAATTAATAAAATAATAGCAATATTACTATAGGAAAATAAATTATCTTTTCTGCTTGATGAGTGAATTCTTCTACTAAAATGAGAGATTACTTTTTTAGTATGGAATAGTTCGTCCTTAGGATGACCTAAGGGTTATGGGTTTATCGTGTCTTGCAAAGTTTAAGAGTTTAAGTTTAGATCGTAGAGATTGTTTATCAAACCGAAAGTATTAAGAACACAAAATGTACTCTTGATAGGGTGATGAGGGTGCACACTCATGACTATACCAAAGCTAGTTTCCTTTCTTAATTATGAAAGTTTGGGAAAGAAGAGTGATAGACAACAGGTAGTTAGTAAAAAGTAGGCTTGGAGTGAGTAGATGTTGAGAATATATGAAAGAAATAGTTCAGTTTGTTAGAGGGAAAGTTAGAGTTGTAGTTTGAGTTTTGCCTTCTATCCTAATTATTGTCATGTTTGCACCTTTGTGGTTTGTGTTAAGTGTCTATGGTGGTAAAGGAATGCAAACTCAAGGTCAACTTGATCTACTTACCTTTATAAGAGTTGGGTAAGACCTTTGAGACAATCTCTTGCCTCTAAGATATGAAGATGTAATATGTTGTATATTGGTGGGTGAGGAAAACTGAGTTTTGGTTTAGTAGGTTAAGAAAAGATGTTGGAGTTCAAAAGCAATGTTTTAGACCGGGGGGATCTTAAAGAATAGGTTCTGGGATTGAATATCATAAGTTTCATAAGTGGAGTTGAGTCCAAAGGTTAAAATAAGGGTAGATATCAATGCACACTTGTGTACCAAAGTTTAAGAATTCAACTTGGTTCTACATCCCAACAATGTTTGAGGTCTGAAGGTGGAAAGTTGTGGAAGGTTTGAGGTTAAGGCTAAAAAGGGTAGAGACCATGAAGTGTATAAGGAAGACAAATCTCTAGGGGAGGCTAAGATGAGATAGAGCTTTGAGGATCAATTAGGTAAGGTGGTGTTTTTTGAGTAAGGGGAAAAATAGTTTGTTGATGAAAAGGAATTATATTATGAGTTTTATACTTAGATCAACTTCACTAAGAGGTAGTTGAATCTTCTCAGCAATAACAAGAATCAAAGTCAAGAGTAGAAGGGATGTTCTAAG